TATTTATTTGGCTGTGCTGGGTCTCAGTTGCAGCATGTGGGATCTAGTTCCCTGACCAGGTATCGAACTTGGGCCCCCTGCATTGAGAACATGGACTCTGAGCCCCTGGACCACCAGGGAAGTCCCTGTTTGTCTTTTAATTTGTTGATTTTTATTTTCATACAGAAAAATGTTTAATGTAGTAAGTTTTATCTTTTTTTTAAGTAGTGGTTTAAAGTTTTCTGCATGTAGAATTTATATGTTTCTTCTTAAGTTTTACTCCTAGATAATTTTTGGTGCCATTTTAGGTGGGAACTTTTCTTACAGTATATTTTCTAATTCATTGTTTTTATAAGAAGACTATTGACTTTTGTAGGGGTGGGGGGCTTGTTTATTTTCTACTTCAATGGGAATTCTTCCAGTGTTTCCTTGTTAAGAAAGATGTTGCCTTTTGAACTGAGAATATATTCTCTCATTTAAAGAGGAGCCCATATGTTTTTACTTCATTAAGAGTTTTCATGCATAAAAATATTGAATTTATCAAATATCATTTTAGAATTTATAGAAGTCATATATAATTTTTCTCTTTTGATTTATTAATATGGTAAATTATATGAACAAGTCCCCAGTATTGAACTATCCTTGCATTCTTGGAGTAAATCCTATTTGCTCATGGTGTTTTGTTCCTGTATACTCGAAGTTTTATTTATTAGGATTTCAATTAATATGAAATCTTCAGTTTCATTGTTATGTACTGTCTATATGAGAATTTGGAGACAATGTTATTATAGTTCAGGGAAGTAATTTGTAAATATCCTTCTTTTTCTTTGCTCTGGAATAGTTTAATCAGTATTAGAGTTAACTGTTTCATATAGGCCTGGTGGAATTCCTCTGTGAAATGATTGGGAAGTTATTTTTGCATGTCACTCTTAGGCACATTTCTCTTTTACAGTTATTTAATTATTTAATTTTTTTCTCTTCTAGAGTCAGTTTTGATCGTTTTTACCTCTCAGAGAACTATCTTATTTATGTTTTAAAGTTTATTTGTATCAACTTTGTTTAAAAATCATTTTTTGTATGTTTTAAAATTTTTCTTGTAATTGTAGTTACTTCCCCATTCTCATCCCTTTACCATAGTTTTTTTTTTTTTACCATACAGTTTTAGTACATATTATTTTTTAGTTCTAGTGCTTATGTTTTACACCTTTAAATATACATATATCTTTAACATTTGATATTTCAGCTTTTAAAGATTTTTTTAAACTTTCATTTACCTTCCCTATTTCTATTTCCTTCAGCTCTTTTAAATATTTATTTATTTATTTGGCTATGTTGGGTCTTAGCTGTGGCATGCGGGGTCTTTCGTTGTGGTGCACGGGCTCCAGGGTGTAGGGACTTAATGCTCCATGACATGTGGGGTCTTAGTTCCCAGACCAGGGGTTGAATCAGTGTCCCCTGCATTGCAAGGCAGATTCTTAACCACTGGACCACCAGGGAATTCCTTTTACTCTTTGAATAGTTTATAACATTTATATTTTATTCTGTAAGTATAAACCCCAACAGTTGTTTTAAATATATTTCTAGAGCTGAGTGAATTTATTACTCATTGCCAGTACTTCTGGTATAGTTTCTCCATTAATCTTTTAGTTACATGTATTTCATCCTTTAATAAAAATTTCCTCAAGAAGGGTGAATAGAAATTATTCCCCAAGTTGCTGCATTTAAAAAACGTATGTCCTCTGCATTAATTTCAAACAACGGTTTAGCTGGGTATAAAATTCTTCACACTTTGATTTCCTAAAGTCGTTACAGGCATTGCTCCTCTGGCGTGTATGCTGAATATTGATATGTGGAAGTTTAAAAGCCAGTAAGATTCTTTTCATCATTATAGGTGAATTGCTCTTTTTGACTGGATGCCAAGAGGACTTTTTAAATCTTCATAGTTCATTAACTTTACTAGAATGTATGGAAATGGATGAATTCTTAGTCTATAGATTTAAATCTTTTCTTTCTGGAAGTTTTTCTTGAATTAAATCTCCAGGGTTTTTTTTCTTTCTTTCTTCCTTTTTTTTTTTTTAAAGTTCTTTTATTGACAACAATTATCTATAAGTTAAATGTACTTCATTTTCTGTACTTACTGTTTTTTAGTTCTTATAAACTCATGTTGATTTCTACTTCATTTGTCCATTTTCTCAGTCCTGTTCTCTAAACTTCTTATTAGTTGCTGGTGTCTATTCTGCCTTGGGCTGTTAGCAACTTTCTTTGATGGAATGGTTTTAGAAAGCCTGTGCATATAGCTAGCTCAACGCCTTTAGATTCCAACTGGCATCCTGGTAACAAGTAGCTAGGGCTATAAAAATAAATCTTTGAAAGAACGGACAGATACTTTTCACGATTTGCCAAGTTTGCTGTTTAGTCATATTCCTGCTTTATTATTTTCCGGAGAATCAGAATCCCCCTCTGAGGTTCTGCTTTTTCCCTCTCCTGGCATACTCATCTAACTTCTTTGCAGAAATTCTTTTACTTTAATTTGAATGTGTACTGTTATAGATGTTTTTAATTTGTAGATTTAAAAATAAATATTTGGAGGATTATTTGGTTCTGTTATAAGGAAGAAAGATTATGGAATTATCTTTTTGCTCCCAGAGTAGATTGACTATTCTTTTCCTAAGGAAGAATTAGGAGTAAATCCTGTGTAAATAGTTTATTAGGCTTTGTGATGTTTTATTGAATGTAAATATTAGGTGACAGTTGAAGGGAAATATGCAAAAGCAAGGAAAATACAAATTTGGAGGATCTTTGGATGTGCTTTTTTTTCTTTTAAGCATTGTATGTAGATAGGGTAGATGCTTTTTCTTTGATCAGTGTACCTTTAATGATATGGCTGTTCTCTTATAAGTCATATTTTTGATGGAATAGATTTTGCTACTATGCTGATAGCATGCTGGGTGGTCAAAGATTTAAGGATTTACACTTCGTACCATGTTCAGATCAGACACTCATTCAGTCCATTTGACTCTTGGGCAATGTTAAAGTATTCTAAGCATCACTTTGAACCCTTTTGGATAGCTTTGTTCAAAGAAATTGTGGCCACAGGGCTTAAAAACTTGGACAGTGACCCACTGTGGCCACCTGATTTCTTGTTATTTACTTGTTTTCCCCAATCAGTGTGCCTCAGAATGTTATCCCACAGTGTATTATTTGTCTGATATATGTGTGTCAGTTTCTGTTTAAGGCCCATGGGAAAAGGAGAGGCCCATTCTTCCTAGAGACAGCAACTAGAATCTTAGATTCTCAAGACCACGGGAGGGCTTTTTACTTATCGCTATGTTTTGTAAGGTTTGTGGTATGCAGTTTGGCCAGAAGCTGTAGTGGTGGCATTGTGTGTGTTAGTCATCTCACTCTGTGCCAGGTGCTGTGCTGACTGCTTTTATATCCCCATCTCTTTTTTAAAAAATTAAATTACGTGAGCTTTTTATTATTATCCCCATTTTACTGATAAGAAAATTGAGGCTCAGAGTTAAATCACATGACAGTTGAGTAATAGAATTGGGATTTGAGTCCGTGGCTCCCTGGCTCAAAAATCCATGTCCTTAATGTCTGTATTACTCTCAGGGGTGGTGATGTGATTATAAATCTTCTAAAGCTAAATGAGAATAAGGCATTAGAAGCAAGCAGAGTTAAAATTCTCATAATAATTTAGTACAGGTTTACTCTGTTTGAATAGTTAAAACAAACTTTCTCATTCGACTTGTCTCTTCCCCTCACATAATCTAGAGAATCAGATTGAAATAAGAAGGGGTGGGAGAGTGAATATTGTTTTCCCACTGATAATTCCATGCATGGTTAAGTGGATTTTTCTTGAACTTCCTTCCTTTTCCTAGTAGGGAAAACCTTCAGGCATTAAGTGTCAAAATGGAAATCTTTATTCTGAATGAACTCGATTGTGAGATAAGAACCGTTATGAATGACAGAACTGTTTGAAAATGACATCTTCCATATTTCTGTTAACTTGGAAATGTGCTCTTATGTCATTTGGTGATTCAAAAAACATAGCCCAACTAACATCAGATTGGTTTTTCTGGATAGGGGTAAAGAAGTTAAATATTTATATGGCTGTAATGGGTACTGCCCTGTGAATTCCACTGTAACTTTATAATTAATGTGCCATTACCTTAGAGTCTTACCAAATATTTCTGCCTTCTGGACACGAAAGAGACAAACTCTTCTATTGTTTGCAATTACCCTCATAAAAATTTGAAAGCAAGCAAAAAAAAAAGTTTTTCTTTCCTCTTAGGACAGGTTTGCCTTCTGCTTAACAGAATTCGGTTTGCACTTTCCCAGCGGTGTGAAGTCAGTGCCCTGCAGGTCCCACTCAGGCCTGTGGCTGGTTCTGCAGCTGTCTGCCCCAAACGGAGTGTTTTCTCTTCGAAATGGCAGTGCTGGACGGTAGCGAGAAGATCCCAAGCGGGCACGCCCTTCTTTTCTGTTCCACTCTGGGTGTCAGTGAAAATAGTCTCTCATCCCTTTCCGTCCTGCCTTGGGGATGGGATGGTGGTTCACTTCTACCAGAGCTTTCGCTTAAGACACACTCTCACATTTTCCCATAGTCTTTGTGGTCAATACCTTAGCAACCCAGTCACTAAAAACAAAAGGAGCAGTGCTGCAGGAAAAGTGACTGCTAAGATGTGGGGCGAGGTAGTGAGAGCCAGGACACTGAGTTGAAGGGAAATTATTCCCTGTTTTATAGAGTCTCGTCCTGAGGACAGTTAAACAGTCCAGACAGGTCACTGGGTGAGACCAATTTCCCGGTTTGTTTATTTGAGCCTGAGTGTTTTTCACCATACAGCAGCAGGTCGCAGTCCTGCTACACTGCTACCCCACCTCTGTGGAGAGCAGTCCCTTTTATTATTGATTCTCCAGGCTTTCCTAACCATGTCTTTGTCAGGTTGCTCTGGGGTCCCTCTCAGGTCCAGGGCACGGGCAGTGTCAGTCATCACTTTTGACTTTGTCTTATGCAGGCCTTTGGCTTTATGTCCCGAGTTGCCCTACAAGCAGAGAAGATGAATCATCACCCGGAATGGTTCAATGTGTACAACAAGGTAACTGAATTGCCTTATTTTGGGATCACCTTAATTTTGGAGTTAAGAAACTTCTTTCTTCCTTTCTTGCTTGTCATCCTATGTAGCTAAGTGTCATTGTGCTTAGGAAAATACTCTCTTATTCTTTCTCTCAGAATCCCTGTGTATTACTGCAGATTAATAACAAATTTCACATCTACTCAATAGAACAGTCACTGAGCTCCCTATTTTCATGCTTGTCTTCTACTGAAACTATGGAAAGCAGGCCAAATTAGACCTCTGCGTTAAGCTTGAATATCAGTACTGTAGATGACATTTTTTAAACTCTCTTAAGGTAAATTATTGAAAGAAATGGTAGCAAATCAGAAAGATATGGGTTTTTTATCTCATTGAAATCAATTTGTTCAAGTAAATTCTCTATTCTCAGTGGGAGCTGACCTTCTTAACAGCAGGGGGCACAGTGAGAAGACTCAGGCTTGCCCCCATAATGTCCTTACCTTCACGGTCATGCCATGTGGAATTTCTTACCATCTACATTCTCTTGTCTCTTGAAAGTCCTCTTTGAAAAATTAACATTTCATATTTTTGTGATTTACTGCAATAATGCAGAGGATGCAGGTACCAGCATAAGCTTTTATTTCCTAGTTGCCTCTCTTCACCCATAATTTCGCTTTTGCTTATTAATTGGTTTGTCAAGAGGCAACAGTCTGTTCCTCCACTGCCCTCCCCAACTTCTCTAATTTGGAAATGGGCTTTTTTTTTTTTTAACATGGTTGCTAAGGTATTACATTTGATAGCTTAGTTTTTCTCAGTGACCTGAAAAGAGTGTAATTAAAGTAATGGGAGTTAAAATGGAACCTCAGCCTCTCTCTCTCTCTTTTTTTTTCCCCCAAGAGTCAAGATTTGAGATTCTGGCAGCTCATTTGCCCCTCTTATGAGAGAACCTTTTTATCCCTGGGTGGCTGCTGAACTCAGCCCGGAGTTTACTGGGTTTTGGAAATGCATTGCTCATTCATAATGTAGTATTTTCTAAATCATTTAATCTCCCCAATTCTCAAAGATAAATATTGAGTAATAGATTGATTTCTGAACCACCAAAGGAGAGTACCATGAATTGCAGCTCAGCGTTTTAAAAACTGTTTCTTTTTTCCTTAGGTCCAGATAACGCTCACATCGCATGATTGTGGGGGACTGACCAAAAGAGATGTGAAACTGGCCAAGTTTATTGAAAAAGCAGCTGCTTCTCTGTGACTCCTTCTAAAATGCATGTAGAATCATACATACACATCTAGCTGCAATGGACTTTGAAGGCAATTTATATGAATAAATTAAGTTATAAATTTAGTTCACCTTTTGAACTATCACATTTTGTAAAATCAGTGCTTAAATAAAAATGATTTAAACTTGAGGCTGAGGTATTTTTCATTATATTTAATCACATATATAAGGTAAATCAACCCAGGTAATTCTATTAATATAAAAAAGACATTCTTAGAGATTAGAAATGGATATGCAGGAGCATTCTCATATCTGCAGGATTCTCATATGGGCGAGCATTTTATATCCCAGAAATTCAAGTGATTATGGTCACTTTACAAATGCATTGTATTGGAAAGCACTTGTAAGGTAGAAAAAGAATGATGACTCTATAGTAAAGGGTTTAATTGTATGTAAGGATTCTCATGACACTAATTGATTTGGAGTTTACCTGTTGTTGCTACTTAAGTCGTTAATGAAGTTACAGAGATTACATAAATTGGTTGAGCTGTCTGTGGTTTACCCTTCCTTTTCAGATAGGGAGAAAGGAGAAGACAAGTGTCTTGTTCATGGCTTCCAGCAAGGTGAGGCAATAAAAGGATTCACTGTCATAGTGATCAGCTTGCCACGTCATTAGCTAACATACTGAGGGAAGAGGAACCAAGGGTCATTTTTTTCCCATCGTTTGCATGTTGTAACCCCTGACCTGAGAGTCTGTAGCCCCTGAGCTTGAAGCTACTGGGGTATTATCCTGTTACAAGCTCTATTTATTCCATGTGTCACTGATGGGAGTAGAATGGAATATAAAGTAAGCTATTGCTTAAAAATTGCAGTAACTATTCTTTGAATGAACTCAGGAATGTAGTTATTAATGAGATTAAAATGTAGGTTAAAAGAATGTGTACATATCCATCCAAAGAACATGCCTTATAGTAGTAGGATTTAACAAGGATCATCTTTATATTCTGCCTCACATCAGAGGCCAGAAAAATCACTTTATGTTACAAGCAAAGCTTTACCCCTGACCCCCGACATTCCTCACCCCTAGTCTGAGAAGCCATGTGGGAACATGACAAGGAGGCTGAGCTCTCTGAAGTCAATTTTTGGCTGGTTCTGTTGGCCTAGGAGAGGCAGCTATGTTAATTTTGCTCCGTAGGTATGGAGTGTACATGGGCGGGGGGCATGGAAGTGGAAGAGCCACTCAGGCCCTGTGGCTGTTGGGAGATCCAGAGCCTGGATCTTGTACATACTTGAAAATTTTAAGAGTAAAAGGCAAAGTCATGTGTTTTTATAAACTTTCCTGCACTGTAGATTTGGGAGCTTTTGTACATTTTATTACCAATGATTTCCAGATCAGTGCATCAAATTTCTTTACATAAATTTTTATACATGAAAAAAATTTAAATGTATTTTAAAATAAATAGTCCATTCAAACCTTATGTAGTGATCACCCTGATTTTTATACATGAAAAAATTTAAATGTATTTTAAAATAAATAGTCCATTCAAACCTTATGTACTGATCACCCTGATTTAACAGTTAGCAAGATCTTGCCAGTTACTTCATATAGTCTCCCATTTCCTTTTTCTTTGCTTAAGTATTTAAAAGCAAATCCCAGATAGCATGTCATTTTATCCCTACATTCTCTAGTAAACATCCCTAGAAAATATGGTCATTTTTAAATAGAAACCAAAATGCACTTATCACACCTAAAAAAATAAAACCATAATTTCTTGGTATCACCTAATACTTGGGCAAAATCAAATTGTCTTGAAGGTCAAGAATGTCTTTGGACAGTAATTTTGTCCTAATCAGGATCCACATGACATCTACCCATCACATCTGGTTGTTGTGTCTCTTTAAACTTTCGTCTAGAGCTAAGAAACCCCCTGCCCTTAGTTCCCTCTATGTCACTGACCTCCTGTAAGACCTGGGTCCTCTAGAATATTCAACCTCCTGGATTTGTTTATTTGCTCCCTTGTGGTGTCATTTAACTTGTTTTGCTGTTCCTTGAATGGAAACCTTTCACCATATTTTGAATGTAAGTCTGAGAGGCTCAACTATTAACCTATATAGTGCATAAACTATAACTGCTATGGTCAGGACCTGAGACTGTAGCTAGTAATTGGCATCTGTGTGAGGGTTTGACATAAGGTCCATGTTAAGGGATGTCACATCTGTTGGAACTCATGAACTTTAGAGAATCAAAGTCTCATATCACAAGTCTATGAAAATACTCCCTGGGGTAAATTCCAACAGAAAAAAATCCCAGATTTGCTCAAAGTAACTGACATTTCAACTTAAAGGAGACATTGTCAAAGTTGGAGGCCCCCAAGTTTTCTTCTGTTCCAAATCTTTGTGATGACAGTGGTTTCTCTGCTATGTCAAGCTTTGGTTTCCCTCGTGTTTTTTTTTTTAATGATCACTGGAGTAAAGGGGGGGTTAAATAGACATGACCTATGACCCTTTGCATGACCTCCATAGATAATAAATTAGGGCTAGGACGTTTGACGGTGTTTTTTCTAAAATGAAGTTAGTGAAAGTTTTGAAAATTGTGATTACTGACATTGATAGGATTTAGAAAGATAAATAGGATAAGTATGATTCTTTATGTTTTCGCTTGAGCCAAAAAAGCATAGCACATATGTTTTATATGGACACATTCCTAACTTCCATCAGTGTACTGAAGTGTTAGACTACTAATGTGGAGCAGTCTGTATAATTTCTAATCCAGTGTTCAAAAATATACTGGTTGAACTCAGTAACTTTCAGTTCTATAAAGTTTCCTGCAAAACAGCAGGAACTGTAATAGGGTTTGGATGTAATATGTGAGCTCTGTGCTTCAGTTCCAGTTACGTGGAGTTAGGAATGACTTGGCGAGAAGACTTTGGGTCAGCAAGCTGCTGTGCCTTCTGACTGCCCCTGGCGTGTGCAGCTGAGGTGGTGCTGTGCAAGTCAGGCAGAGGGTAAGTTGCTGCTAACAGGGCAGAAGAGGTGGCCCTTTAGCTTCTCATCCCAAGGTATTTATCCTGCCCACCTATCCATGAAGGTGATTTCAGTAGGCCGCGAGAAGCTGGTCACCTTTGGTTCCACTCATCAGCTGGAGTTCCAGTCCCAGACCAGGTTTCATCATCAGTGACTCTAGAAACCACATTCAGCTTTGGTTGGCTGATGTCATATACCAAGATCAACTGGTCTCTTCTTGAATGCTTCCAGCCTGCCATCTTTCCTTACCCCTCCAAGCATCATGGAAGAATTTTTTATATTCTTTATATATATATCTTTTATATTCTTAAAAAAAATATTTATTTGGGGGGCAGTGTCATGTTGTTGCGTCACACGGGCTCTTTCATGGTGGCACATGGAATTTCTAGTGGTATCTGTTCAGTAGTTGCAGCCAGCAGGCTTAGCTCCCCCATGACATGTGGGGATCTTAGTTCCCCAACCAAGGATCGAACTCACATTCCCTGTATTGCAAGGTGGATTCTTAACCACTGGACCACCAGGGAAGTCCCAAGAATCTTTTACATTCTTAGTCTTTTCTTCATTTCTCCCTAAAGTGTGCTTTGGTGCTTAAAGACTGGATGCATAGGAGTATATTCTTGGGGTTCCTGGAAATAAAATTCCCTTATGCTCAGCTACTTGAGTGAGCATAAGGATCCCTGAGGACATTCATTTGTGTACCCATGTAGCATACATTACTGAGGGCGTCCTGAGTGCCTGGATGGAATTAGACGCACTGATGTATTGAGGCACGTGGAAACAGAGACAGAGAACTGATTCAGCAGCTCTTCCAGGAGACCACTGTGGGTGTAGGCAGAAGCCCAGAAGGTGTTGGGGGCATATGATCAAAGGAGGCAGTAGGAGGCATCAGAGAAGCTTGACTCCTGAGGAAGAGAATGTAGAATAAGAAGGCGAGGCCAAAGTGTGAGTCCTGAGAACATAAATCAGTGTTTCTTAAAGCTTTGCTGTTGATGATTTTAAGTGGAGAGACTGAGTAGATAAGATGTTATTTCCCAGTTCAGTATTCTGTTTGCCTCCAAGAGTATTTTTCTACGAGAAATAGTTGAAAACACTTGTTCCAGAATACTTTGGATGTTGGAGGTGGTGAGGTGTTTTCCTCCTTCTATTATGGTCTGAGAAATAAAGTTTCCAGGAATTTGACCAATTTGGCTAACTAACCATTTAATTCAGTACAGGACTACCCAGAAACCTATATATTGATTTGCCTTGGAAGTCAAAGGAGCTAGGAATAGGAGAATGAGAAGAATATATTCATCCCAAGAATTGAACAGAGGAATAGTGCCTGTTGCTCTTGAACCTAAAGCATTTCTACCCCAAGACTCTTCCCTTACACTCTTTAGGTGGTTCATATGTGTACATTTTGGGTCCCCAGTTAGCCAGTGTTGGGCATGGATAACCTCTGCACCTCCTGTTTCTTGTGTTCTAGCCCCAAACCCATCAGAATCTTTCCTTGTCCTTCCAGGTGTCTCCAGTGCTGTGCCCTGGCTGTGCACTCTTGCTCTTAGAAGCCCAGAGAATTTTGCTTTCCCCTCTTCTATGATCCTTGACCTATTCTAATACATTATTAAGGGCCTCTGTTAGATGAGGGCACTTCCTGAAGAAGGAAGGCTCTTGTCTGGCCTGTTCTGTTGTCTTCTAGTTTTATCCCAGAGCTTCGCAATTGCAGGGTGCTCTTGACTCTTCTCCCTGGAGAAGGGAACGGCAACCTGCTCCAGTATTCTTGCCTGGAGAATCCTATGGACAGAGGAGAGCCTGGTGGGCTGCAGTCCATGGGATCACAAAGAATCAGACATGACTGAGCGACTTTCACTCACTCACTCACTCACTCACTCACTCATGACTCATGCTGAACGGAGGTGCTTGGTCTCCTTGGGAAGAGAGGATATGTGGGTGAAACCGTGGGGAGTTCTCCCCTACAGGGGCCTGCCGGCTAATAACATACTGGGCTGTAAAGAGTGACCTCATAAAGCAAGGATTCCCTCTGTGGACCCTTCTCTGTGACCTTGTGGAATCTAGATGCAAGGAGATTCCTAAGCAGAGATTTTCTGTTGAATGGTTAAAGCAAGGAATAAAAATTGAAAATTTGGAAAATGTCTCAGCACTTTTATCACCAGGACCATGCAAGAATCCTTTCTAACTCACTGTTCGAGAATGCATCACAGATGTTCTGTGAGAAATTATGGAAATTTCAGTAAATATTCTTTATTTCTCTTGCTTAACAAATATGCAGATGGCAGTGTTGGGGGCTCTTAGCCTCTTCTCATAGGCAAGGGACTACTTCCCAAACTGAGGGACTCATCCTAGATAATCTGATTTCTCCGACTGGTGAGGTTGTTGAAGTCTCAGCCAAACAATTTTCTCAGCTTTACTGTCACAGTTGGCTGGTTAATCAGATATTCAGTCACACTCTTATTTGACCTGTAGACCAAATGACTAGTTTGTTCCATCTTTTCCTTTTTTGTCCAATACTGTGTTAGATAATTTGAGGGCTTTTTTTGGTTTTGTTTTGGTAATAGACATGATCTCAAATCAGCTAATGGAAATTATATATTTTATTTTTATAGGTTATAGAAGTATATACATTCTATAGTTTTTTTTTTTACTGTGTGAGACTGTTCATTTGTTACATGAGGAAAATTGAAAAACACAGATAAATATAAACAGGAAAAAGAATTACCTGTAACTTTACCATCAATAGGCAGACACTGGCAACATTTTGGCATATTTCATGCTGAATTTTTTTCTACCTGCTTTGCACAGTTGAGATAATTTTAAGTAGAGAATTTTTATATTGCATTGTTTCTATGTTTTGCTATCCAGTGGGTCATAAGCATTTTTCTAAATCATGAAAAATATGTAGACATGTTGTGGTATCTGTGCAATATTCCATTAGCTGGATGTGCCATAGTTTACTCAACCTGTCTTCTTTTGGTTAGAATTTTCAATTGTATCCAAGTTCTTATTACAGCAAATAATGATGAGATAAACACGTTAGGCTAAAAAAAAAACAAAAAAAAAAAACAAAAAAACACGTTATGCTAAAGTCACAGCATGTCCAATTGTATTCTCTTGGGGTAGATTCCTTGGGTCTGAGGATATGAACACAACTAATGTTTTTCAGAAAAATTGGTCAGTTTACATTTCCCTGGCAGTTTATGAGAATGTTCCATCACATTGCACTTTTGCCAGCATTAAATATTATCAAGTTTAAGTCTTTGCTAATTTCATAAGCAAAGTTAATGGTTTTACTTAATTTGCACCTCCTTGATTAGTAGTGCTGCTGAACATTCTAGGGAGGGGAACTTCATTGCCATTGTATTTCTTTCATGAATTGATTATGTGTTTGCCCATTTTTTCTTAGAGTGGTCAGTTTTTAAAAATCATTGATGTGTAAGTTCTTGTATGGTTATTTGATTAGCAGTTTTCCCTACTAGACTGACTGTATATAGTTTTACTTCACCTTATATCTCAAGGGACTACTGTATTGCCTGGCATATAGTAATCATTCAATAAAAACTTGTTGAGTGAATAAATGAGTGAGTTGAATAGTAGTTACTGAAAATTTCGAGCTACCATAGCTCAGTTGGTAAAGAATCCTGCCTGCAATGCAGAAGACCCCGGTTTGATTCCTGGGTCAGGAAGATCCCCTGGAGAAGGGATAGGCTACCCACTCCAGTATTCTGGCCTGGAGAATTCCATGGACTGTATAGTCCATGGGGTCACAAAGAGTTGGACGTGATTGAGCAACTTTGGCTTTCACTGAAAATTTGTTGCATGAGTAAAGGAAGATGATGCTTTGATTGAGAAGGAGTGGTAATCATTTTTTTTCCCATAAGTCTAGAGAGATTGAACTGAGTTAACTGAGTGGGGACAGACCTACCCTTTGATTGTCATACATATTTCAGTGGTCGTTTAGTCAGCATTTCATTGCAAATTTAAAGTATATATATGGATTAGATTTATAGTCACAGAAGTGGGGAAGCAGACCCTAGTTCCTAAGAAACTGCATCATTTGGGGATCTAGCTCTGTTGCAAGATAATCACACCTTTTATTCAACTTTCTGACAGGAGGAAAGATACTCAGTTTCAGGCATTTGTGAAGAAAGTCATAATGAGTCGTCTCTTTAAGATAATTATGATTAGTACCGTCTCAATGAATGCCTTTTTTATGGTCTTGTGGACTGATTATAAAACAAGATACAGCTTGTTCAGACTTTTTGAGGTAAGCGGACAAAATGGGTCCATTTCCTTCTGTTTTCTTTCCGAACCTGTTCTAAGATTCTTAAGGCATTTTGTTCAAAAAGTTTTCTGTAGAAAAATTCTAAGGACTAATAAAATATACCCTAAAATCTAAGAAGATGGTGGCAGCAGTAGTGACAGCATTTACATCAAAACTAGTTAACAAGAGGGACTTCCCTCACTGTCCAGTGTTTAAGACTGCACACTTCCTGTCCTAGGAATGTGGGTTTGATCCCTGGTCAAGGAACTAAGATCCCACATGGTACGCAATGTAACCGAAAACCAAAACCAAAACAGCAACAACAAAGCTAGTTACAAGAGATCCTTACCAAGAACCACACTGCATAGTATTAGCATCTGTAGCAGAGGAAGCAGAGGGAAGTCAATAAGTCTTGAATAGCAGTTGATATCAGAGAGTGTGTTGCCTAATCTATTAGTTGTGGTGTAACACAGGAGGTCCCTGCAATTTATGAAGGGGCTAGAATGGTTCAGACCCTGTAACTTTAAAAACTGACCGTCCAAGGCTACTTTCAAGGGTCGAGTTCCATACTTATGGGAAATATTGGGAGTGGAATGAAAATTGAGCAGGTAAGAGACCCAGGAAAAGGAGGAGAGGTTCAGATAAAATTGGAAAAGGGAAACAGAACCAGGAAACCTCAAAAAGAAAGCTACCACATGTTAAATCAAGAATGGATATTTAAAGTTAGAATCATGCTTTCTCCTAAAAGTTCAGGAAAATTAATTTCATATAAAAAAAGTATAATAGAAAAAGACTGTGGTAAAATCCCATATAAAATTATAAGAACAAAAGAACAAAGTGGAGAATAATATTACTACAGATAATGAAAGCCCACAACAAAGCAGATAAAACCTGTACTATTTCAGAACAAGGTAAATTTTTACAAAAGTGATGTTAGGAAAGAAAAGAGTGAAGTGATAGAACTAAGAAAAGAATTAGAAATAAAATCATTTCAAAAATAAAGACCAAATTAGACTAAGAGCAATTAAATACAGCAGATAAAGACTTAGAAATATAGGATTAAATGGGAGAAATAAAAATTTTATTTTATTTTTTAAATAAATAAAATCAGTAATTTTAAATTAAAAATCAGTAATAAATGAAGAGATTAAAAAGTATACAAGAGAAAATGATGAACATTGAAGATTGGGGAAAAATGATCCCACTTAAGGATAATAGGAATCTCTGAATGTGAAATAGAAGCAAAGTAATGAAACAGAATAAACACTCAAATGTAAATTCTAAGAAAAGTTATCTGAAATAAAAGAATTGAAACTATATATTGAAAGAGCACTTGTTGTATATTGAGACTAAGGACTTAACAAACACCAGAACATATTCTAGTAAAAGAATATGAAGGAATCCCTTTGGCTTCCTTGGTAGCTCAGCTAGTAAAGAATCTGCCTGCAATGCCAGAGACTCCAGTTCGATTCCTGGGTCAGGAAGATTCTCTGGAGAAAGGGATAGGCTACCCACTCCAGTATTCTTGGGCTTCCCTGGTGGCTCAGCTGATGAAGAATCTGCCTGCAATGCAAGAGACCTGGGTTTGATCCCTGGGTTGGGAAGATCCCCTGGAGAAAGGAACAGCTACCCACTCCAGTATTCTGGCCTGGAGAATTCCATGGACTGTATAGTCCATGGGGTTGCAAAGAGTCAGACAAAACTGAGCAGCTTTCACTTTCACTTTGAAGGAAAGAGGTGTGGAGGAAATTGTTAGCATCTAAGCTAAGAGGCCGGAGAAGGCAGTGGCACCTCACTCCAGTACTCTTGCCTGGAAAATCCCATGGATGGAGGAGCCTGGTAGGCTGCAGTCCATGGGGTCGGGAAGAGTTGGCCATGACTGAGCGACTTCACTTTCACTTTTCATTTTCATGCATTGGAGAAGGAAATGGCAACCCACTCCAGTGTTCTTGCCTGAAGAATCCCAGGGATGGGGTCGCACAGAGTCGGACACGACTGAAGTGACTTAGCAGCAGCAAGCTAAGAGGCTTATAAGGAAAAGAAAATTATTATTAAACTCTGCTATGGTAATGCTTTATGCTGAGTGAAAATGGGGCTTCCCAAGTGGCTCAGTGGTTAAAGAATCTGCCTGGCAATGCAGGAGACATGGATCCAATCCCTGGTCTGGGAAGATCCTACATGCTGTGGGGTAACTAAGCCCATGTACAGCAATTCTTGAACCTGTGTTCTAGAGCCCAGGAGCCACAATTACTGAGACCATGCTCCTCAACTACTGAAGCCCTCCGGTGGCTCCACGGCAAGAGAGGCCATTGCAATGGGAAAACTGCACTGTAATGAAGAGTAGTGCCTGCTCACCTCTGCTAGGGAAAAGCCTGCATGGCAATGAAGACCCAGCACAGCCAGAAATAAATAAAGGAAAATGGAGTCAAACATTTAACATACTTTAGGAAAGAAAATGCAAACCAAGAATTCTGGATCCGGCAGAACTGACTTTCAGGTATACAGGGCATAGACAAACTGTCATCAACATAAAAAAATCTTGACTAATACTGCTCCCATGAGCCCTTTCTTAGGAATCTATTTAATAAGGAATAAGTTTCAGCCAACTAAAATTACTAAAGAAGTATCAACACTGGAAAGGCAGTGAACAGTAAAATATGTTTTTATTTCTAGAACTAATCATAATTATGGGTTAACAAGGAGAGAATATAGCACAAATGAATATATACTCTGACAATGAAGATATAGTATTGATTAAAATGGGGAAGAATGGGAGAGTTGATGCAAAATTTTAAACCATTTGTCAGAAATCAACTTTGTGGTGATGCTCTTAGTATTACTCTGGGACTGTTGTGTGTGTGACACAGGATAACCAGATGAGTAATTATGGGACAGTTTAATTCTGTTATTCTCAGTATTCTTGAGAACCAGGTTACTCATGGAAGAAAGGAAGTATGAATATAATACAGACAAAGTAAAACCCTGTAGTTTTGCATTTAAATTGGAAGTATCAATATAAATCCCTAATATATTTTATCATTATCCATTGAAAAACCTAGAACACTGACCAACTTAATTATGCATCCTTAGTGCCCATAATGTGGTGTTGAAATACTGTTTATCACTGGAAGGAGCTAGGGATTTTTTGAGACATGGTTGATTGCAGGTTTAGGCCTGAAACTATACCAAATGAGCTCAGAATATCTTGTACACATAGCAAGGAAGCTATCAAAGATTACTGTGAGTAAAAGTCACTCAGTTGTGTCTGACTCTGCGACCCCATGGACTGTATAGTTTATGAAATTCTCCAGGCCAGAATACTGGAGTGGGTAGCCTTTCCCTTCTCCAGGGAACCTTTCCAACCCAGGGATCGAACCCAGTTCTCCTGCCTTGCAGGTAGATTCTTTACCTGCTGAGCCACAAGGTAAGCCCAAGAATGCTGAAGTGGTAGCCTATCCCTTCTCCAGGGGATCTTTCCAACCCAGGAATCAAACTGGGGTCTCCTGCATTGCAGGTGGATTCTTTACCAACTGAGCTATCAGGGAAGCCCAAAGATTACTGGGGTCATGTCAAAAGGACGCAGGAGGCAACTTGACGAGACTCCCCCTGGCTAAAGATGGGACACTGTGAGCTTCAATAAGGATGATAATTACAGTGGATTTTGAAACTCACCAAATAATCTGTAAGTTTACAGTGATACAAAAAAAGCTGATGGGTCACTTTTGGAGGGTGATACCTGGTGGCTCAGCAGTAAAGGATTCGCCTGCAGTACAGGAGACATAGGAGATGCGGGTTTGATCCATGGGTCAGGAAGATCCCTGAGGGCATGGCAGCCTACTCCACTATCATTGCCTGGGAAATCCCATGGACAGAGGAGCCTTTTCCATGGGGTCGCAAAGAGTTGGACACAACTGAAGTGCCTGAGAACAGCAGCACAAGGAACTAATACTTTATTTCAAAAACTGTTAAATTAAGGGAAGGAATCAAGCTTTACTGACCTTTCTTATATGAATTGTATTATTGCTTAACAACATAGTAGATAAGGGAAATATCTCTTTATAGAAATGTCCCAGTTAATAAATGAAAAATAATTGATAGAATTAAAATATCACAGTTTTTCAACTGCTAGTGAATTACAGGATTTAGGCAATTTGAGCATTAATGATCACTTCCCTCATAAAAAGAGAGACAGCCAGACATTGTTTTTGCCTCCTATAAAAGAACAGAACTTGTCATCTTATGAGAAAGATCAAACCTGGGACTTCTTTGGTGGTCCAGTGAATAAGACTCTGCACTGCCGGTGCAGGTGACATGGGTTTGATCTCTGAGGGAACTAAATTCCACCTGCTGCAACTAAAGATCCTGCATGCCACAACGAGGATCGAAGATCCCACATGCTGCAGCTAACTAAGACCTGGCACAGCTAAATAAATAAATAATAAAAATAAATATTAAGAGAAGATCAGATCTGAATCAGATCAAGTCTTTTCATCTAGAATCCTATTTCTAGGAAATAGAGGACAGAAGAACATAAGTGTGCAGTCAGCATAATCCAGATGATGAAATTCTACAAGTCAAGTTGTCTGGTTTCTTCAACAAATAAACTTTAAGGAAAGGAAGAAAAAAATGAATAGGAAACTTAAAAGACATATCAAATTTTGAAAAAGTTTTTAATAAAAAAAAGTATTCTAGGAATGCACACATGAGTTTCTATCTATGGAGAAGTGCAAGAAAATGATCACTATAAATATAGGGACAATGGTTAACTTGGGGGAAAGGGAGGGAGTTGTGGTTGGAATGGAGCATATGGAGAGGCTTCTGGGATAGTTGGCAAGGTTCTAACTCTTGACTTAGGTGGTAGTTACAGGGGTGTTGGCTTTGGAACAATCCATTAGGCTATGTATTTGTGTGGTTCTGTATGTGTATTTTATTCTACAATAAAAAAAGATTGAAGAGGCGCTTTATCTTCATTTATGGTAAATAGCAAATTTCCTTCTTGGTGA